AGAGCCGAGCCAAATGATCCGGCTCACTGATGTAAAAATACAGTATCTATAAGGGACGGCTCAAGTCAAAAGGGGTGGACGCCCTCTCAGCCCTGGTCTGGCGGAAACACTGGCAGTGACCCCCGCTGGTGATTTCTGAAGAGTTTACGTGTCTGAAAAACAATGGTTGTTAACATGTGGCTGAATAGGACTACAGAAGTTGTCCAGGCCGTTGTACGTCATTACGCCGAACACGTAAACACTCCTCTAAGTTTGTTTGCCCAGCTGCTTGAAAACAAGTACCTGCCTTCTGCAAACTGTTCAAACAAACGCTTCAACTTGTACCATTTAATGTATGTTTGAATATGGATCTTAAGTTGGCGTGACATTGAAGCAGCGACCCCGCTGTAGTTCGTTTATAGCATAACGTTAGCATTTTGCTTTTGGCGACTAGATTTATGGTTCGAAAATGATAAAAGTAGGGTAGACATGTGGATATTATCTGAACAAAACGTGATCCGTCTCTTAAATGTGTCTCAACCACAGACCTTATTTCCAGCTATTTTCCAAAATCCTATGGAGAAATTGCATTGCGTTTTTGTCGAAGGAACCGGAAGAAGTTTACTTCCGGGTTTTAGGACGCGTCACTGCGGCTTTCTATAACAATCTTCATTTTATGTGCCTCTTCTTCTTTTAAATGTAACTTTCTGACGTGAGATATTTAAATACAGTAATAGTATTGTTTATTTAAAAAAATGAGCCACTCTTTACAGTTAACTTCATATTTCTTATTATCTAAACCAGCGGTTTTCAAAGTGTGAGGCGCGCCTCCCCTGGGGGGCGCCAGAGAGCTTCAGGGGAGGAGCAGCGTGAGACACAAAAGAACGAGAAAAAGACGAGTAAAGTGACACTTGCCCACTTGTGGCTGTCTGTGGAGACCGAGTTCCCCCACCTCGCCAAAAAGGCTGTAAAAAGTGCTCATTCCCTTCACCTACCTGTGTGAGTGCAGGTTTTCCGCATTGACTTTGATCAAAAAGCAAGTACCGGTCAAGGCTGCAGCCAGAGGATGATCTGCGTTTATTCCTCTGTGCATCAAAGACGCAGACTCATTGTTCCTACTACAAGACGGCAGAATCATTGTTCCTAGCTAAAGGTAGGGGTGAGTGTAATAAGGAGGCGCAACGTTGACCGTTCAAGTGCCCGGCGAAGGCAAATATTACATAAGGATTATCCCCATGTTGAAGAATGTTTAAAAAGAAACTCATGCTTGAGAATCACTGGCGTGCGGAAAATACACGGTCGTGCCTGGCTGGCAGCTACATGGTAGTACCGCCTCACTGCAGTGCGCAGCGACCAGCAGGCCGCCTCCTCTGCTAACCTCAAGANGTGTCTGAAAAACAATGGTTGTTAACATGTGGCTGAATAGGACTACAGAAGTTGTCCAGGCCGTTGTACGTCATTACGCCGAACACGTAAACACTCCTCTAAGTTTGTTTACCCTGTTCTGATTGAAAGCAAGTACCTGCTTCCTGCAGACTGTTCAAACAAACGCTTCAACATCTACAATTTAGAATCTCTAGTAGTTTTGAATATGGATCTTAAGTTGCGTTGAAGCAGCGAACCCTGCTGTAGTTCGTTTATAGCATAACGTTAGCATTTTGCTTCTGGCGACTAGATTTATGATTTAGAAAATGATAAAAGTAGGGTAGACATGTGGATATTAACTGAACAAAACGTGATCCGTCTCTTAAATGTGTTTCAACCACAGACCTTATTTCCAGCTATTTTCCAAAATCCTATGGAGAAATTGCATTGCGTTTTTGTCGAAGGAACCGGAAGGAGTTTACTTCCGGGTTTTAGGACGCGTCACTGCGGTTCTCTATAGAACATGAATAAAGCGGACTGGAAGATAGAAAGTCTTTTTGAATAGGGTTTGAATAAAAAATGGTCGGAAATAGGGCTGGGCAATATATCTATAATATAGCTATCGTGATATAAACCTTCAAATCGTCTTGGATTTAAATACTATCATATGTTAGTATAGTTCTTGGTTCAGACGAATACATTACAGTCAAATGATAGACTTGGTATCTTTTCTATTATCTGCCTTTACCCTCTTATCCAATGAATCAACATTACTGATGATTCTGGTCCAACATATTGTGATCATTGATTTTCCTCCACAGTATGAAAATGACTAAGACGGACATTAGACACAAATCTAATAGTGTTGTAAAAAACAAAAGAAAAATCCCGATCCCCGATTTTTTTTCTTCCGATCTTTTGAAAATCACGTGATCGGCTCCGATCCCCGATCACGTGATCGGATCGGGACATCTCTATGTAGAACGTAATAATTTATCTTTACTCTCTCCTCCTCTCAGGGTGAGGCTGAAGAAGATGCGTAAGAAGGAGGCGAAGCAGCGCTGGGACGACAGACACTGGGGTCAGAAGAAGCTGGAGGAGATGACGGACAGAGACTGGAGAATCTTCAGAGAGGACTACAGCATCACCACCAAGGGAGGAAAGATCCCCAACCCCATCAGGAACTGGAAGGAGTACTCCATGCCGGATCACATCAACGAGGTCATCGACGCCTGTGGCTACAAGGTCGGTGCAATGAGGCTCCATGTCAACGCTCTTATGAATAGCTTATTCTTTATTATGTCAAACAACAAAGACTCTTGTTTGCTGTACAGATTGACAAGCCCTTGTGGCATTTTTGTTTAATTTTTTTTTTTATATAATATAAATGTGTGGGCTTTTAGAAAAAACAATTGCTAAAAGGATTATTAGTCTGAAGTGCAATAAGGCTCTCATTTTAGTTGTAAATGAGCACAAAATGAAGTAAAATGCTCTTGATTTTTAGAGTTAAAATACATTTATTTGACTTTTTAGTATTTTCTTTAAGCAGACATACAAACTGATATACCCACTGTTCTTGACTGATTCAAGTTAATCTCAAAATATAGGAATAAATACAGGAATAAAGAAATTCAAGAATAAATAAATGTGATAAAAAACAGAAATAAATAAGTTTGGAAATAATGACAGGAATAAAAAAAAAAAGACTTGAATGTATAAATACAAAAATGTAAGTTGAGAATAAAACAGAACACACATTATTATATATCTTAAATGTATTTCTACATATATTTTCACTTACAAACTGATATATCCACTGTTCTTGACTGATTCAAGTTGATCTAAAAATGACTCCTCTCTTAAAATCCAGGATCCGACACCTATCCAGAGGCAGGCCATTCCTATTGGCTTACAGAACCGTGACATCATCGGTGTGGCTGAGACCGGTAGCGGTAAAACGGCTGCTTTCCTCATTCCTCTGCTCGTCTGGATCACTACCCTGCCGAAGATCGACAGGTAACAAAGCAGATTCTCAAATCATCTCATGTACACCCACTCATTTCTCTGTTTACTGATGTCTGTTACACTCCTGTCCTCTGTGCAGGATTGAAGACTCAGATCAGGGTCCTTATGCTGTGATCCTGGCTCCGACTCGTGAGCTGGCGCAGCAGATCGAAGAGGAGACCATAAAGTTCGGTAAACCCCTCGGCATCCGCACAGTGGCTGTGATCGGAGGAATCTCCAGGGAGGACCAGGGCTTCCGTCTCAGGATGGGCTGCGAGGTAAGACACGGGGACATTTAGGCCTATCTAGGAAAAGTGCCACGAAAGAGTAGAACATCTATACAAGCCAAGTGTCTAAAGTTAGGATCCAGTAGACACCTAAAGTCTGCTCCATTACTCTCTGTGAATCATTACAGTCTTGATTAGTATTAGTAAAAGGATTTTCATTCTCTAACACTAAACCCCTAATATCATTCACATGGTTTCAATAAGATTTATACTCTTCTGGGATATCTATGTTCTCTTTTTTGTGTCCTGGATATACGTCTATAGGCGCTTTCACACCGGAGTACTTTTCCCCCTACTTTTCCCTTTTACTTCCGATAGTTCCTGGGATTTTGCGTTCACACCAAAAAGAGAACTTAGTTCATGAGAACTTTGAGAAAATGAGAAAAAAGTACCAATTTCTATTGGCTGGGCGAATTGCAAATCACACGCCCCATAAAACTCTGAAAAGCTTTTTCAAGCCGCCATTGTATTTGCTGGGATTAGTTTGATTAGCATTAGCATTAGCCCCGCGCACCAACGGAGAGAGACTAACTTATGGCAACACAAAAAAAACCGTTGGAGATGAGGAGGTGTCGGCGTTCTGGCGATTTAATCCGGCCGGGAGTCCCCAACTCCGGGGACTTCGGGCGGCAGTATACGCCGGGAAGTTGTTTGCGGCCTGCCAGTAAACCCAAAGCAGAAGAAGAAGAAGAAGAAGTGACGTCAGCGGCTTCATTTGCCTAATCTTCCCCCAGGAACTTATTCCGGTGTGAACGCGATCTGCTCTTTAGTTAATCAGAACTAAAGAGTTCTGATGAACTTATTACGGCAAAGTACTGGGTGTGAAAGCGGCTAATGAATCTGACTAGCAACATGGAACATGCTCCCCCTTTAGCTTCAGATCTGGCCTGATAATCAGAACAAACAGGGCTTAATGAGTGATGTTATTTCTAAGTCAATCTAGTAAGGCATGGTATCTGACTATCTCTCTTATAGACTTAACAGTTATCAATACAGTCAAAAAAATATCTGCAGCTGCATACAAAGTTGAGAATAATCTGTATTTACACCCCAAGATGACACAAATCAATAGAAAATGCAATAATAAGTGATTCAAAGCAGTACATAAGGTTTACCAGACCTTATACACATCATTTTGATGACTGTTTTATAATAAAGCTTTGTCGTGACAGGAAGCCCACCGTGCACTTAAATCTGTCGGGTAATGTGCTTCATACACAACACACACTCATCCCCCCCCCCCCGTCTGTGTTTCCTTCTCTGACAGATTGTGATCGCCACCCCCGGCCGTCTGATCGACGTTCTGGAGAACCGGTACCTGGTGCTCGGCCGCTGCACGTACGTGGTCCTGGATGAGGCCGATCGTATGATTGACATGGGCTTCGAGCCCGACGTCCAGAAGATCCTGGAGTACATCCCGGTGACCAATCAGAAACCAGACACCGACGAGGCAGAAGACCCAGAGAAAATGTTAAAGAACTTTGAATCTGGAAAACATAAATACAGACAAGTATGTCCATCCTTTACAATCTTAACTATTGTGTAAGGCGACTTTATATAGCACATTTAAACGACGAGGCAATTCAAAGTGCTTTTAGAAAACCGAATAAAAGCATTCAGACATGGTGCAAGATGCAGTTTTTGATTTATGCTCGATACAGAGGCACTGATTACTTAATAATGAATGACTGCAGGTGATGGATGACAGAAGGCTACACACTCTGGAGGGTTGTTAGTCTGGACAGGAGGAAAGGCACATGCATTATTGTTTTTCTTTGTGATCTCAGAAAGACTGAGTTCAAGATTATAAAAGCAAAGTCCCTTTTGTATAGATGCCATAATGAATCTGGAGATTAGCTTTGTAAGGGCTGGTTGCTCTCTTTGTGTATTTAAGTTGTGTTTGTGTCCCCCCTTACAGACGGTCATGTTCACGGCCACCATGCCTCCGGCGGTGGAGAGGCTGGCCCGAAGCTACCTGAGGCGCCCGGCCGTGGTTTACATCGGCTCTGCTGGCAAACCTCACGAGAGAGTGGAGCAGAAGGTGATGCTCATGGGCGAGGGAGAGAAGAGGTGAGCGCACACAAACACGTAAACATCATACATATTGTTTATTTCTCTGTTGAAGTCTCTTACTGAGGGGTTTTTGTTTTTTTTGTTGTGCAGGAAGAAGCTGCTGGAGGTGTTGGCGCGCGGCTTCGAGCCTCCCATCATCATCTTCGTCAACCAGAAGAAGGGTGTGGACGTGCTGGCCAAGTCTCTGGAGAAGATGGGGGTAAGTCAAAGTCAACTTTATTGTCAATCTTTCAGTTTGTGTGTACAGACAGAGAGATTGAAATGCCATTTCCCACAATCCCGAATACAAATGTGTATATCCTATATACACAATCAACAGACACATTAATACATAAGTAAAAGCACAACAATCAATATATACAAAATAAGTCACTTGAGAAAGTCACTGGACTCTTTAATGTTTACTTTAAAATTCTGAAAAACATTCTTAGTTATCTTTTGTTATTAGAATGGGATTGCAAAATTCCCACATTGTTTGAGAAATTAAACAATTCCTTTAAATAGATATTAGAGATGTAAATAAAAAAACTAGAAATCAATTCATTATTCCAACATCAAACTCTTAGATATACTTTTTTTATTATGATATTTATTTTACTTGGCATGACATCTGGTACAAACATGCGTGCTGTGTTTACTGCTAATAAGCTAATGTTGCTAACCCTACCCAACAACACCGTTAGCATTAATTGTCATTGTGAGCATTTCAGCGTCCACATTTTTATGTAGTACAAATGGTTCCAAAACATTTAGTAAAAGTACGAACTGAACCCGGTGGATATTTGTGTTAGACGCCTGGCGGTAAACTGGATTTTCTCCTTAAAATACTGGAAATATAAAATGGAATGTAACCTTAGTTTTCTTCTTCTTCTCGCAGTACAATGCTTGCACGCTGCACGGCGGCAAAGGCCAGGAACAGCGAGAGTTTGCTCTCTCCAACCTCAAAGCCGGAGCCAAAGACATCCTGGTGGCCACAGACGTGGCGGGTCGAGGTATCGACATCCATGACGTCTCCATGGTGCTCAACTACGACATGGCCAAGAACATCGAGGGTAGGAAGCTCCCCCTCAGAATTTCTTTCTTTATTGGGTGTATCATTTTTCTCAATGTTTATTCATCAATCATGTTCTTTCAAATGTTATCAGAGGATTTATTGGTTGGTCTAATATTTATCCGGTAATGCATTTTTCCTCAAATAAGTTTGTTATAATAAGCGTTTGTTACTAACTTTAGGAGTTTGAACATTATCTGAAAGGTTTGAGTCAAACATCAAAGTGCAACTTAAACCATTTCTGTGATTTTAGTAGATATTGAACAGTCAATATTAAAAATATAGCTAAAGGCTTTATATTCAACACATTTATATATATTATTATACAGTTAGTTTGATGTTCAGTTCCAGATGTATTTATTAATTTAGGTATCTTTAATTTGACTTGGATGTTCAGCTCAACAGTTTTCCAGGTTGTAATAAAGTCAAAGTGTTCATTTCCTTTTTTTAACTATAGTCCTTTTCACTGATCCAGATTATCGACATTAGATATTCATTTTGTGATGTCAAGACTGTTGCTCGGCGCTCATAACATAGAATGCACATAAAGAACAAGAAGTGTTAACTAAGCCCTCCTCCTCCTCCTCCAGATTACATCCATCGTATCGGTCGTACTGGTCGTGCGGGTAAGAGCGGTATGGCGTTGACGTTCCTCACCAAAGAGGACTGTGCCGTGTTCTACGACCTGAAGCAGGCCTTCATGGAGAGCCCGGTCTCCACCTGCCCCCCGGAGCTGACCAACCATCCCGACGCGCAGCACAAACCTGGAACCATCCTGACCAAGAAGAGGCGCGAGGAGACCATCTTCGCCTGATCCATCACGCTGTTATAGTTGGACTTAATAAGCTGAACACACATCAGGGTCTCAAACTGTTTTACCGTGTTGCACCTGGACATCATTTCTCTGTTTTGCATTCAGGACTTGGTCTCCAGTTAATTTACGCCCATTTCTTTTTTTCCTTTACCTTGTTTTCAGTCTGTTTTTGTTTTTTCTACCACACTGCTTTTAGGATTTAAAGACTGCTCCTTCAAAGGTGTGTACATGTGGACTCCTTGGTAGAAGTGATGGTGTAACTGATCTGCACTGTATAAATGCTTCTCCTTGCCTATCCAACGTGAGAAACACCATCCAGGATGTGAGGCCAAGTGCTGTTTAACCTTGTTTTGTTAAAGAGACCCATGCCAGAAGTGACAGCCATTTTCTTTTACTTCAAGCATCCTCTGACTAAACTGTAATTCATCATTTTTAATATAAACAATGGTATGAAGTGAATACAGCGCATTTGAGTGACATCTGTTCTAAAAAAGATATGTATATATCTTGCACAAACTTCAAGCGCTCCAAGTAAGAGGCTCAGGAGTAATATGGAGTTTTGATAATAAAATGGCACGTCCACAAACCAATAAAAAAATCGGACTTCAAATGTAGATCATCAGACTTTTAGTGTGGATAAAACTTAATGAATAGTACCTAAGACTTCTTCTGTTCCAAGTTTTAGAAACCAGGATTTCAGCAGTAGGTAAACACTGCTTGTGGCCACATATGTATACGATGTGCTGACACATGAAAAGTCAGGATCACTAAAGTTATTGTGATTATCCTAAAGGGCACATATAAGTATATGTTCACCAAATTGTGTGTTAATCTGTCCAACGCTGTTAACTAAGAACCACAAATGTCCACCTCAAGTTAGTTTATGTAATACAAAAGTCTGTACAAAGGTTCTCGGCACTGCTCAGAAGTGAATTTACAACTGGGTGTATTATAGTGAAACAAAAAAAGGACCCAAACAATTGAAAGTACATAAAATGTCATGTTTTTATTTTCTTTTTAGTCATATTTTTACTTAGCATTGTAAATCTATTTTCAAATAGAAAGCATTCTATACAGCATCAGGCAGGAAATGTCTCACTTTTTACACATTTGCTGTCTCTTTTGATAAATAGAGGGAAGAGGCGTGTTGGGTCACGCTAGCACGCTGTGGTAGTCTGGTGGATACACGGTTATATTTAGTGCAGTTATTGCATCACAAAGCAACCATCCCAAAAAAAAGTAGTGCAATTTTTTTTTCTTTAAATCTACTCACACAGAAAGAGGAAGTCCAGATGGTCTAAGGCGTTTAAAGTTGTTCAATGTTAGCTTAGTATTGCATACAGAATAAGACAGAGGAAACTAAATGATAACCGTTGTAAAAATTGTGCTTCATAAATTGAAAAACTTCAACTGCTTTTATCAGTCGCTAAATTGGTCCGCTTTGAAAAACATACTCTGCCAAAATATAATGAAAATAGCTAATTGGTGAACTAAAGCATGCAGGGCTTTAATAATGATTCACTCATTCATTTTTAATCGTCAAAACAATAAATCCTGGGCCTGATCTGGGACAATTTTTTAAGTGAGTGACTTTTAAAAGTGCGTCAACCAGTGTCCACCCAAATAATGTCTGTGGATAAATAAAGTGATGCGTTCTGATTATTATTTTTGAGTCATAGTGTTGTTAGTGGTGTGAGGAGTGAGTAGCCCCAAAGACAAGACTATCACTACAAGACAACGAGGAGAATCAGAATCAATGCATTACTGAAATACTTAACTGTAAAAAGAAACAATCAGATTTCATGCAACACTTGCATAGATTTTTTTTTTTTTCAATCATGCTGATTTTTTTTGTCTTCAAAATATACAGAACACTAGATAGAGATACCTGTGAGACATGGAAGCAGTAAACCAGTAACTCTTAAAGCCGGCTGTTAACACTTCATCGGCTGGTGGACTAATAATATTAATAATGCAGGAACAGAATGACATCATGTCACGAGTGCTACGAGTCCTTCACGAGCACGACACATTCGTGGATTTGAGCGCGATGAGTGTGTAGGACTTACACCTGAGGATCTGCTTTGATAAAAACCCGAATATAACTGCAGTACGTAACGCAATGAGTGGCAAATACACACGGGGGGGTGAGATTAAGTGTAGAAACTGTGGATGCTACAATCAATAACGTGCTACAATCGAATTACAGGGCGATCGGTTGGGTTTTGGAGACACCGGGTGGTGCTGCTGGAGGTGCAAAAAAGGCATGCAAGCTTACATTCTCTGGAGATCTGAAGCTGCAGCGTGTGTGCAGCGTGTGCATGTGTGCAGCGTGTGTGCAGCGTGTGCTTAATAATATGTGAATGATTCCATGTAAACAAGCGAGTTTGGTAAGTAATTCACTCTTTAAAAAGATAACATTCCCTTTTTCTTAGTTGTGTTTACATTCTCTGTGCTCGTTTTTATATATTTTTTGTCTTCCTTAAGAGGTGTAAAGAGTGATGCCCAGAAAGAAGCACTGTAATGTACTGCAGCTTCATACCACGTGTGTGTGTGTGTGTGTGTGTGTGTGTGTGTGTGTGTGTGTCTCCATCACCGTCTTCAGAGTAAAAACACATGGGTGGCAACATTTCTCCAAAAACAACAAACAAGTCCATATAAACAAAATCCAACAAATATAGTAGCAATGAAACAAAACCAGGTGCCCATTCAGTATATACATTGTAATCAAATGCATTACTATTTCCCATAAGAAGACATTCCTACATTAGTTTATCCGTAAAGATCATTCAGTTCCTGTTCTGACGTCAATGTGCAAATAGTCTTAAAATAATTATACTCAAACATGCAATAGTAAAGATAGTTAAAAGTCTTAGGAATTTTAAGGCCAGTACATGAGACATCCTACAATAGAGAAACTTTAGGCGGAGCAGCTAAAGTTTGAGTTTGCGTACAGCTGGTAGCCTGAAACCTTTCCATTGCAGAGGGGAGTAGCCCTGTTGACTTTAAGGGGAAACCGACCACCTTTTGTGAACATCCAACCAGTTTTGATGGTAAATGTAGTCGATTGAAGCGATATATTCCTCAGTGCATGCTATATTGATAGAAAACTGAGTTCTCCTGCTACAAAACCTGTTCTTCCTGCATCAAGCACAGTCATTTTAAGGTGACTGATGTATTTTGATGCAAGGGAGAACTACAGGCAACCTTATCTTAGATTAGTAGTATCCCCCCGCATGCTCTAAAGCCGCTCTAAAAAATATTGAACCAGTCTATACAACCAGAGGATGGCAAGGGCAAAGACACATCTCACAGAGTTTCATCTCACTCCTCGGAGGAGCTGGAGGAAACCCTGCGTCTGCAGACACAATGCATCCTGGTAAATGTAGGCAGGAGGAACCAGCTTCCTCCATCAATAAAGCATGCACAGAGGGATTTTTTTTTTTTTCAATTGATTCAATTAACCATAAAAACTGATTGGACATCCACTTAAAAGGTGGGGAATTGTCCCTTTAATCTGAAAGACTTGACCCTGAAGAGGTCAGTGCGACCCCTACAAATAATTAAATCTGGGAATCTTGAAGAGAGTGACTGTCAATTCTTAAAAAATCAACCTAAAGTTGTGTACTTTATAAACTGGGCATCTGTTTCTGATTTGGAGACGATTTTGGGGCAGGTTTTTTCATCTCTAAGTTGTGTATTTGGGACAGTTGGAGGGCTGATCTGGAGGCCGGGGGGGGGGGTTCCTCAGTAGGTGTCTCGGGGCCAGGGGCGGCTGCGCTGGCGGTTGTTCCTCTGGTTGTGGCCCTGCTGGGCCTCGCGCTGCAGCAGCCGGTCCTCTGACTCGTGCCCGTTGGCACTATGGGCGCTGCTGCTGCTGTGCCCGCGGTGGGGGGGGTACACGTCCCTGTAAGTGCGAGCATGGCAGGGGGAGGCAAACTCATCCTCCTCCTCCTCCTCCTCTTCTTCTTCCTCCCTCTTCGTCCTCCACAGCCACCCTTTGGCCCGGGCTCCCCCTCCGGCCGCGGGACAGGGAGTCGCTGGCCTCGTCAGACGGCATGAGACTGTCCTGCTCCAGGGGGGAGGGGGCCTCCTCACCCGCCTCCTCCTCACCCTCCAATCCCCCCGCCTCACGAGGCTGCGGCTGGTTCTTGTTCTGGAGGATCATACCGTCATGGAGGGGAAGGAAAGAAATAAAGAGAGTCAACAGGAAGCTCTGAGAACAGGATGGATTTTGAAGCAACTCAAACTTTTTATAGTAACAGAAGACAGCAAACTCAAAGAGGGTCGATAACATAAAACACTACATCCTGAAGGACTTTGAAGGAAATCTATCTTTAAACAACATTTCAGTGCATATTTATATTAAAATGTAATGCTTGCTGCATCGTTCCTCTAGTCCTCACTGACTGCAAACACATGCCTTAGTTTGTTTAATGCAGTCTAAAAAACGTTTTCTTATCAAATCCCAAAGGCCTCATGATTGTTTTATTATTTTACTTTTTATGTATTCATTTATAAATATTTCTTTATTTAATTTTTGTATGTATCTTTTATTTTAGTGTTTTAAACTGTGTTGTTCTAACTGCTCTGTACAGTACCTTGAACCTACCTCTGTGTATAAACCAAGCTTTAAAAATAAAACTGCCTAGCCTTCCTAAAGTTCAGCTGAAGTTAAAATGATGCTTCAAAATGTACATCAATTAATTCCATAACCTCAATAGAAGCTTCAAATGTAAAAGAAAACATGACATTCTGTACTGAATGTAATACAAAATCTGCAAGTAACAGAAAAAAACAGAAGGGGTTTGACTATGTTAATATTTGGCATGCAGCAGTTTTGGTAAAGTCTCTTCAAAGTCCTTTTTAGTTTCCAGTGTTTTGTCTGCTTGAGCACAGATTGATACAACCAAAACAAAAATGCCAGTGAAACTTTTGTATGGATGGTCAGGAGGTTAATCCAGAACATAACAGTGCTGATGTTATGCTCTCCGTTCATTGTTGTGTAAATGATGCATTTAGTTCTGTTGAATACATTATTTAAGCATAAATCTTTCATGTCATTCAATATCGCACCATGTGTTACAGTGAGTTGGGGCACCATTCACAAAGCATGCTGGGAAAAGGACGAGCGCCGAATGAAAAATAGGGAGAATAAGCGTTCAGATTTCTACATTTCATTCAAACGTTTTATAATTTCACAAAGGTGACAATCTCAGGTACGGTTTAAATTGACACTGCTTTGTGAATTTTTCTCCCGAAAAGCGTGTGGAGCAGTGATTCACCTGAGACCATCGAGTAAAGGAAGGGATGCAATGAAGAAAAAAACAACACGTCATATTTTCTGTGGTGAGATCAGAATGAATAAAAATGCTGTTCATTCACTTTCTCAGCCGCTGCGTAGTGTACAAGGGCATTGCTGGGGTTGAGAGTGCAAATATAAATAAATATATATACATAAACCCTACTACTCACCCCATTTTGTAAGCGTTCATTCAATTAATTCCTGTGTTTCAGAAAACTGCAAAAATGTTAAGCATGGATGAGTGAGAGGACAAACAAGACAACTGGAGACAATCAAAACCAAACGGAGGAGTGAGAATCTGAGATGGGAGCTGGTAGAGACAGTGACAACAAACAACGTGTTCAAAACAGGATTTCAGGATCAGTATTTAAACAGTGCTTTCTACAAAGGTAAAGACACACTCACCTGGAGGCTGGAGATGGCAGAAGGCGGGGTCATCAGAGTTTGCTCCAGCATCGGGTTGAGAGGCGTGTTGCCCGGGAGGTGAGTCGCACGCCAGTAAATCTCCAGGTACTCAGCCAAGTGCTCACATGCATCCTCCAGCTGGTTCTCATCCAAAATGACATCAAACATATCCTTCAAGTGAACGAAAACAAAAAAGAGCAATTACACCATCTTGTATTCAGTGGCAAAAAGACTTAATTCTGCGAGCTGAAAGGAGCACTGTTTCACTTCAAGTCGGTCAAAATATAAAATATAACCTGCATGCTAGTAAGCCCAAAATCCAGGAGCTATAGGGACTTTAAATAAATACTTAGTAATAGGGTTATAACCATAGGTATAGTTCTCTTCAAATAAGGTGTATTTGTTGATGTTTGTCTATCTACTCAATTGTTAAAAATTACAATTGGGTATAGCTATGGTGACTGTGAAGGCCAATCATTTTTTTATAATCCGAGAATTAAGTGACCCTTTCTTCAGTTATTTTACTTTTTCCATTAATGTTTCACATGTCAAATGCTCAAAATGCTAATAATGTTGATGTTCCACAAGTATACATTTATATTTATACTTTTATAACCATGTACACTGTCTTAATTTGGGGTGTGAGCATGATCACATTTGAAAATAAGCACAACACAAAGTACAGTTGATGGGTGTCTTGGTTTTTCTCCATATATATGATCTTTAACCAAATAAAAGTCAGATATTCAACAAATTAAAATATCCAGCTGTTCATTGTTATTCTCTACCTGTCCACCAGATGCCCTCAGTCTAATCCAACTCTCTTTATTTGACCTGCAGTAACCTCTTTCCATCCAGTCAACTGAGCTCCTCCGCCCACCTGCTCACCTGTTTCCACTTCCCTAATCAGCCCTGTGCTATTTAACCGGCTGTTCCCTCTCATTCCCTTTGGTACGGTCAATGCTGCCGTGTGCCATTGTGTTTCTAAGTTTCTGTTACATAGACCAGCCTGCACTTTTCCATGGACTCAATTAGTGATGGTGAGATGAAGCCTTCATCTCATGAGGCTTCATCATGGGCTTCATCAGAACACAAACCCCCTGTTGGTCAAAGTGTGTAAAACAGGCAGATTGGACAGTGTCTCATACCGAGTTCCCAATGAGTAAAGCCTTAGAATAACTCTAAACAACAAACATAAAATCATATTTTCATGTTAACAATATTGTTTTTATTCGAGTTGAATGATTGTGATTGAAAAGCCTAACCATGTTGTAGCCTGAGAAAGGCTAAACTAGTGATGGCAAAATTAAGCTTTGAATTAAGCGTCGAACCACTTGGACAATTGTGTCGGAAATAGGTTCATTTCTCGAAGCTTCAGTTACAGCAACCTCTCCTGGCGAAGTGCAAGGCTGCAGTGGGCTTAACGTATCTTTGCCTTGAAAAATATTCGATACACACACACACACACACACACACACACACACACACACACACACACACACACACACACACACTAACGACCTGAGACTCGACCGACGGACACACG